CTGAAAAAGTCCCTGAATAAACCTGTTCTGGAGCCAGGGCTGCAGTTCTGTATTGCTCACTTCTCTCGGGATCTTAAACTCCAGTAGCTCCTGGTTGCTGTGGCAAAGGCTGCCCTGGACGGTCACACCCCCTACCAGTTCTTCCTTTTTCTCCAGTAGCAGGTCCAGCTGGGCCTCCCCCATCACCCGTTTGGCACCTGCAGCAAAACCTGGCCCGTGGCTCTCTGCAGGCACCTCTGATGGGCCATACCTGCTTCAGCAGGTGCTAGACAGTATCCCACCATTGCTGTGCTGACTCCAGAAGCCCCACAGTCTTGGTCATGACTCCAGGCCCCTTCTGCACAAACAGCCATGGTTGCTGCAGGGTCCATGCAGTCCTGAGCAACTGTTGCATTCATGCTCCATGGCAGGAGCCGGGCAGCAGCCTGGCCACCTTAGTCTGGACTCTGCTGAGGATGGGGCTGTTAGCACTCCCTAGACAAGAGCCACAAACAAAAGCAGACACTGGCTTTCTTTGTGACCAACAGACAACTGTCATGCCAACTGCGTGGGAAGCAGGGAAAGGGCTGGGGTGCCTTGCCTGAGGCTCAGCCTAGGTTTGCGTCTTGCAGAGAGAAAACCTACAGCTGGGTTGGGAAGGGGGGGCTGGAAAGGGGCTGCCAAGGGGAACTGAGAGCTGCACAAGGAATTTGCCCCTGAGGATTTTTTTCATCCACTGAAATGCTGGCTGCCTTGTCTAAAGCTCAGCCTAGGGCTAGGTTAAGGTTTAGAACAGAGAGAAGGAAGCCTATCAAGCATCCTACGGTCAAGCCTTAGAACTAAAACGCTCATCCTTCTCTCTTCAGGTGCAGATACTGCCCCGCTCGCTCCCACGCTGCCTTCCAGGTCCTGTTCAGTCTGACTCCACAGAACAGGGGTAGGCGAGACTACCAGCACCGCAGGGACCTCTGGAACGCTCCAGCATTTTATGTACCCAGGGAATAAGCAAACTGTTTGGTGAACTTAAATTACTTGATTTATATTCAATGAAAGGCCTTACAGGACAGTGGTTCTTTTAACAAAATGTAAGCCAAATCTCTAGCAGCAGACACTCTCATGGTGCAATTCACTATAATATTCACTTTTGAGAATCTGGCCCTTTATTCTTAGAAAACAAGCACCTCCCTTTACTTCCTGCCTGCCTGGAATCATAGTGAAAGATCTGAGACAAATTATTCAGTATAAAAGCTACATTAATAGCCATTATTACAAAAAACCCAAAGAACAAACGAAAAGAATGTTCACACTAATGTCCAAAAAAAAAAAAAAAAAAAAAGGCATATTCTAAAGGAATATACGAAATACAAGCTGAGGAATGACGTCTTCTTTCAATTCATCTATGCTTGTAAGAAAATTTGTTTTTCTTTTCCCCGTCCTCAGTGGTTAGTGATTGCCCTTTGTGCCCCAACTGGAGGTTATGCCTCCTTCAGAAGTGCTACCAGAGCTAGTCATCCGTAGTGTGTTAAACAAGCCAGGTTACGAAAGACTCCATTTAAGCTACCCTGGCTCAAAGTGGTAACCCACTGAGTGTTGACTGATCACAGAGAGCTCAACAAAGAGAGCTGAGAAGACAGTAAATTTCTGCAGAAGGCCGGTGGCAATAGCTGGATTTTGCAGGTAGCACCTCTGTTCAACACGATAAGAATTTTAAAAGGGTTTGTTATATAGTTCTTTTCTAATAGGAATTCTGTAGGAGTTTCATCAAATCACTTTTCCAAACAGATACTGGGACACCTCTGCCACTGGTAAACACCGTCAAAACTTCTTAGCCCTAACGGATTTCATTTGGCTAGTAACAGAGTTGAATTTTGTTAATATAAAGTAAGCTTTAAAAATAATTTCAGGTGTAACCTTATGTTAAAGGCGGAACTTTTAATATAGACAAGGGCAGGATATATCCACACATCATGGTGTAATACCATGTCTATATATCCATGCCCAAGGCCAAGCAAGATATCTCCTCTCCCATGCCTCAAAGTCTTTTTTGGCTGCTGCTGCCGCCCAGCCAGCAAGCCAACCAGACTGCGACACTGGTGATACAGCAGCCAAATGAAGCTATGAGGAGCTAGGCTATGGGACAGCTGCAAAAGCTAAAGCCAGTAGGACACTGTGCTGTGACGCAGAGCAGCACTGGGAGGGCACACTCCCACCCAGTTCTTGCTAAGATGCATTACTGCTGCAGGCTTTGTTTTCAGCAGGGTAAATTAGCCCAGGTGAGATGCTGTGCTAATACAATTAGGCTGCTTTTGATGCTGCAGGTCAGTTTGTGCTGAATCCTCGCCTGGGCAGGCAAGGATGACCGTCTTAAGGAAATAGAAATGATTTAATTGGTTTTCATGTCTTTTGAGAAATGTTTTCTCCATTAAAGAACTGACAAGACATCCTGAAAACCTTCAGTACAGTGGGCAGTAGCATGAATTACCCATGTTGCCAAGGTTTGAACTCATCTTCCTTTTAAAGTGGTCTCTCCAAAGGAGAGAGAGCTCATGAAGAGGATAAAATAGGGAGAATCAACACCTGTTTCAAGAAAAAACAAGGACTGTAAAGTGTTGATTAGCATCTTCCCTGAACAACAAGCTTAATGCAGTATTAGTTAAAAACTAAAGGCAACTTTAAGGGAAAAACAGCTACATGACCAACTTCTCCTTCCCCTCCAGGAAAAAAAATTGGAGAAAAGATATGAAGTATACATGACAGATGTTACCCATCATTACACGCACTTCTGGAGGCATAAAGTGGTAGTGATAAAGCTGAAGAAGGATCTGAGAGCCTCGAGCTGTTTGTTTGTATTGCTGCTACTGCTGGAAGGGAAAAAGAACCTATTCTGCCTCTGGGAATGCTGTATAAACATTTTAAAACTCAAATATACATATTTTAAGGGTGAGACACATTACCTTTGGAGAAGACACTTTAACATGGACAATAATTGGTGCTAAAGATGTCTTGATGAGTTGTGCAGGGTGATTGATCGTGTCTGCATCTAGGACAACCAGTTGTAAGGACCTTGCCAGCTCAAAGATTCTTTCAATTTCACTCTGTACTTCGGCTAATAAGAGATGGAGGGAAAAAAAAAAAAAAAGGTCAAAGCCACTCAAACCCATCATTATTTAGACAAAAATACAATCACTCATTTATTTATATGGACTTTACATTTTATATGGACTTAAGAAGTTCATACACTGAACACATAACGTGAATTAATGCAACTTCCACAAAATAACCTATTAATCAATACTCTCTCTATAAATATACGTATATATAAAAGAAATACGACCTTGGAGAACATTCTGTTGCCTGAAAATATGTAATTACTATACTGACTTATAAGATAAATGCGTCCAAGCCATTTGGTACAATTTAATGTATGTTTCGAGTAAAACAAAACTCAAGCATATTTTCCAAATCTTCTAAATAACTTACTATAAATACTGATAGAACATTATTTAAAAAGATATTAATGGCTGTGTTCACATCTAAACATTTTTATATGAAGAAAAAGGAGAAATTTACTCCCATGTAAATGACGTTTCTGATAGTCATTGTTCTGATCCTTCTTAATCATGCCACTGTGAGGAATTTTAAATGGATAAAGTCAGCACAAATTAAAGCCTGTAAGTTTTACCACTGACGTCAAGAAAATTGTACGTGAACAGTTCATACGCATTTAATTTGCCTGAGTGCCATTCCAATAATTTTTAAAGTACATGATTACTTATTAAGATTTACCTTAAGTCTTTGGCGAAGACCTAACGCACCTTGGCGTTCTGAAGTCCCTCCTAACACGTCACCACAAGGATTACTTCTAAACTTAAGTATTTGTCTTCTTGGCAGTTTTAATGATTTAACAGAATTATATCACTTTAAACTAAGCCTATCCCAATGTAAATCTCCCACAGAGGTACATATGCCCACAGGCACAAGATTTAGTAGAAACAAGCACTCACCTTTGGAGCACCTAATTTTGGGGTGCTTCATTCCCCTATTAGAATGCCAACTATGAGTGACACGTTCTACCTCCTATATCGTATAGAGAGAGAGGGAGCAGCCTCAGCACGGCGTTCCCACAGGGCAGTGCACAGAGGAGGAGGTTCACTTTCCAACTGAACAGGTGATGCTAAGGTAGACCTCTCTCACATCACTTTCCTGAGGATAGGCACTTAAACAAGATCTGGAGCCCTTCCTGAAGGTAAACTGCTGGACTCTTACTCCTAAAAGCTGAGCCGGGTCCACTTTTTCCTTGAAAAAAAAAAAAAAGCCTAAAAAGGCGTTCTAGTTCAAACACTCCCTCAGAATGTCAGAGAACTGGGTTTAAGTGCCTTTTCTTCCGGAGAAGATTCAAAACCAGTACCTTTTATCTCCTGAGATGGTGTCCCAGAGATCAGGTTACTGATGCGTATATACATACACACAAATTTCCACCTCTAGTGGAGAAATTAAATAAATTAAAAATTCATCTGGCCAGTGCAGCCCAGCAGTCATGATACCGAGGAGAGAGTGGGAAGACCAACATCCCAGTCTCTGCTCTCACAGCCAGATTAGAATTTTAAGCAGTAAACTATAAAACAACATAAACTATAAAATATAGTAAGTACATAAAAACTATAAAACCAGTCCCTGGGTCAGAAACAAAAACACATTTCATTCCCAGCTTGACAGCACGAGGGCTCTCCAGCAGCTTGTGGTGCAGAGTTAAGAGCATCAGTCTGCGAAGAAGAAGCTGTGAGGCCACATCTCCTCTAGGAGGAAATACCACTGAACCCAGTTTTTCCATATCCTGACCACAGGCCCCTAACTCACCTTTTGTAGGTTATTGCTATAATATTGCTTGTTCTAGTCCTTGTAAATCCTTAACGTGAGGCTAACAGAGTACGTTGTGCTCTGTAGTCACTCCTCAGACAGATTTTGTCTCTCAACAGTGTACATGAAATTCAGAATTACATGCAAAAATCCTGTAGAAACATTTAGAAGTGAAGAATTTATATGACATCTTTAAGGCTGACACCCTGTCACTCTCTTCCAGGATGTAACTATGTTCAGAATTATATCTGTGTCAATGTCTTACCTAAACTGGATCTTGTATTTGACCGCTCAATTATTGCCCTCTTGCTTGGATTATTTAGAACAGACCTCTTAGCAAGAGAAATGTCAGCTGTCACTCTAGTTATTGATATCCTATGAGTAAGAACACAGGACAAGAACAAAAACACAGCAGTCACATTTTCATTGCACTGTGCTTGACATACAGCTACATACCATTCCAAAGTGCAAATACAATAAAATACCACTCAGACATGTGTTATAGCTGAGTTATAGCATCATTAAAGTACAACTAAAGAGAATGCTGCATAACTGTACAATATTTTCTATTGTCTATGCTACAGTAGACTCTTGCACAGTTTCTGCTATTTTACTTAATACCATGAGTTAATTATTGCCCTCCCCAAATCTCACCCGTCTCCAACAGGAATTTACACAATACCATAAATACTACAGGTTAAAGTGAGTCTTAGAGCATACAGAACAACTATTACTACTGTGGAGTCCCAATAGTAATAGTACTTCTCCCAAATGGTATATGAACATTGACTAAACCTCACATTTCTGACAGGTGAGAAGGACCATATTTGGGTATCTGAGTAGCCTCCTGTCTTATTTCTGACTGTCTAGGAGTCACTGAACAGACATAGCGTACTTTGGGAGATCAGTCCTCCAACAGACACTCATTTTACAGACACAGAGCTGTGGCTACGGGCTAAACGACCTGCTCAAGGTCAGCTAGGGGAGAAGCAAGTTGAGTCACAACTATCTGTACTGCTGGAGCCTCCTCTTTAACTTAGGGCAGGCAGTTTTTTCAGGTCTGTCAGTGAGCTGACAAAAGACAAAAGGTAAGCGCCTTCCTAAATCCCGGGCATGTGTATCAGGACCTGGAACAATGCAATTTCAGGTATCTATGCCTGAGGACTTCCCTTTAAATCAGACTGTAAAACAAAGAACACACATCCACTTCACATAAAAACCGTTCAGGAGGACTGTGATGGGATCCAAAGAACCATGCATAACAAGAAGGAAGCAAGCTGGAAATGACTAGCAGCCATTCCTCACAACACAAGTTTTGGCAGCCCTAAATGAAATTATCAAGTGGAGGGGTAAAAAATTGTTATTTTTATTTTTCCACATAATACATAAATAAATGTGTTGCAGAGGATACAATGGAGGCCAAAAACATCACTGGGTTAAAAAAAGGAACAGGAAAAATTCACGGGTCATGGGTCTACAGGCAGCCAGAAAACCCAGTGCTCTGGAGCCCATCTCTGGCTCAGGAAGCTCTAGATCTCTGACACTTGGAATCTGGAAAGTACAGGAGAGGAACGATCATAAATCTATGCACCTCTTCTTATACCCTTCCTCAAGAAGGATATCCTCAAAGACAGGATACTGGGTTTTCAGTCTGTCCTAATGCAGCCAGATACATAAAGTACTTAATTCCCAAAATAAGTAATCTTAACAACCGTCAGCAACAGTGATGTTTAAATAAAAAAAAAAAAAAAAGTACCTTTCCTCTCTCATTTACACTGTGGAGAGTTAGGCTAGGTCTACACAACAGTGATTAAACACAGTGCATTTAGAAAACGATGCTGCTAGAGCCTCTGCAGCAGCCTTTCCCTGAATGCCGCCTAGCAGCCAAGCGCTGGAAGATGCCTCTTAGCAGGTCTGCACAAACACGCAGCCCTCGGCCGTTCCTTCAGTTCTCTGGCCACAAGAGGCTGGGGCAGACAGAAAAGGAGGAGCTGTCAGAAGCCAAGCGTATCAAAGAGATGGGAGTCCTGCTAGCTGGTCCTGCTGAGGAAGTCTTTCAAAAAGCTCGTCCCTGGACAGTCATTTCCCTTGCTGGTGATGTGGATCTGTCACAAAATTGCAGCAGAGAGGGGAGAAAAATAGATGAATAAAAAGAAAGAAATTGGGGCCATAAAAACTCGTGGGAGGATCAAGAAGCAGCTGAGGTTCCTAAAAAGAAACTGAACTCTTACTAAAAAGAAACTGAACTCTGACTTAAGAAACTTTCTTAAGTCGTTCAGATTTAAAATCCATTGTATCAGCTTGCTTGGGGCATTTAACTTTTCCATAATTAAAACACTTCCGCCTGACCTAGCTGTCAATAGTCAATAGCAATAGGACTTCCAAAAACCACTTCACTCGAGGCAGACCCTCTCCCTTCTCCCCTCTGCACAGACCAACGGCAGGATGGGTGGAAACACAACAGCAAGGCAAGGTAGGCCCCCAGCCTGCTCCCAAGTACGCTTCACGCTTCCAACTCTGTAATCAGGCACTGCTGATCTTTGGGCATCGGACACTGCTTGGTACATTCTCATATAGGGTATGAAAATACACCTCGTAAAGAATATATTCATATCAGTCACATCCTGCCAACCTGATATGACTTGTCACTTCCAGGTGCCATGGTTTCCTCCCGAAAACAATGACTTTCAGCTCCCATAGGCGTACGCAAAGCTGACAGACATATGCCATCAGCTGGGAAGAGGACACACGCCAGGGCTCCGTACCTGCACGTCACGCAAACATGCACTGCAGCCCATGCAATAAATTGCGGGGAAATAACATTAGTGAAATTGCTCAGCAGTGGGGAGAAGATGTACTGACAGGATGCATGAGCAGCTCAGAAAAATGACAAATTTAACTGCAGGCTGCCACGTACTGTGCTTCCTCTGTCAGATTTTAAATCAACCACTACATTTGTAGAGTCTGCTAAATTCACTTCTATTGGGCAATTAAAAATGGGGGAAGGGACAAGACAGTTTGCAAAAAAAGTCCATCATTAAATGTTTTATTGGTTCATGGGTTAATTCAGTATCGCCATCTCCTCACTGCACCTCAGAAGCTACCTCACCTGCAAGTCCTGCTCCACCTCTTCTGAACAGCAAACACTATTATTTTGACTGTCCTAGTGCCAACATTTCAGATATTTTCAAACCTGATTTACTCTCATATATCAGCTAGCATAATACGGGCTCCTCTGCACACAGTTCAAATACACTGAACAAACTCGGATGAAGGAAAGGCAGAACGTCCCAAGATGCAGCTGATGCCTGCAACTACCAGCCAGTTCCAGTGGAAAGGAAGAGTGTATGAGACCCAGTGTAAGAGACCAAGTGTATGTTCTTCACGAAAAGATCCAAACATTTATCCCTCCTCACAGTTCCTCAGGAAATTTTTTTCTTTGTTCCAGCCAAATAAGTTGAATTCTCTTTACAGCTACTTAAGTTCTGATACATTTTTCCTACATTTTAATTTTTAGCACTTCCTTCTTCAAATTGCTTTTTAAAGTATTTTTGACTACCAAGAACATTTAAGAGCTGATTTTTCTTAGGTGTTGGCCGAAGCACTGTTTCTGCACACTGTCGAAATCTGCTCTGTTCCTGACACTTATCTCAGGGCTAGGCTGTGATTAGTTTTATTTAGAGAACAGCCTGTTGTATAGGAGCCGGCAACTTGACGAAAGGTACTGGGATGAACTTAGCTCAAACATAGCAACTTGAGAATAAAATCATGAGGCACTTATATTTGGTATCTGTACACTTCAGCAGCTTGCTGGGCTAGTCCAGCAATACGCATTTGTATCCAACACCTAAAAAAATTTTTGTATGCCCAGAGAATTGTGAGTACAACTGCAACTTCATCTGCAATCAGTTATGCTTTCTCAACTGTTCCATGACATCCACAAAAGGAACAGGAGAGCTCTTAGAAAGTAATCTATTCATTAAAATTACCCCACGTGCAATCAGCTCAGGTGCTGTTGCTCAGTGACTTCGGAGCTCTGGAGGGAAGGGGGCCAGGAGCGGGCCAGGAGCCAGGCCCTGCCGATGGGCTTCACCAGGAGGCACTGTCCCTCCGAGTCCCGGCTGGACGCGTGACAGCACCTGCCAAGAGGCACAAAGCCTGCTCCCGATGCTTCCAGGGCCATGTTAAAAGCCTGAACCTGACAACACCATCTTTAAAGATATTCTCGCTCTTTTCTGGTGCCCTAGTCAACTTTCATCTAGATTTCTCTTGCAGTTGCAGTCTGATAAGATACTGATGCAAAATTATTCAGTCAAACCTAAACATCCTTCTACAGACATAGCAGATATGAAGATATGTGTGCACGTCTAAAAATACATGTGTTGTGTTTCACCCCAGAATTGGCTGCATTTCAGTGTTGATACAAAGCTGGTGAATCAGTTTTGAACATGCATCAATCTTCTTGCATTAAGGAAGTTTCTAAAAACGTTATTAACACATGGGGAAAAAAGCATGAAAAGGACAGTATTTCTCACCTCCCATCAAACCTGTGCTTCAGGAAGTCAAAGAGAGCTTTCTGCATCATGTCTGTCACCTTTGCAGAGGTGAGGGAGATTGAACAGGAAGGATTGACAGGGAGAAAAAGAAGTCAAAAGTAAGAAAAGAGGTAAAAGATTGGATACTGCCAACAATCAATACCTTTTATAGGCAGCAATCATTTAGTTTCCATGGTCTTGGCAGCATGCTTTGTAATAAATACTTGCAAGTTTTCTGACTCATTCTCTAAAATGCTGAACGGAGGATGTGAGAGCTGTCACTCTTAATGCTCTTGTCTTCACTTGCACTGAGATATTAGAACACTCCTCATAAACTTCCATAACAGTATCATTTCCCAACAGGCTCGAGCACATGTCAGAAACTTATGGGAATATTCAGGTAGAACAGATCATTTGTTTTCCCCCTACAGTTATGTTATTAGAACTGGTTTAGAACTTCAGATACAAAATTTGTCTTGTTTGATGGTGTTTTAACAACAGCAGAAGTAATCTCAGTGAGGCCCACAAGGAGAAAAAAATGGATGTTTCTATTCCTATATGAGGGAACACCTGAGAGATGCTTGACATCAATAGCTGTAATCTACTTTACTGAGCGAACTCTTTGTCTCTTTTGGTACAACTAAGACTGACATCTATTATCCGCCAGTCTAGACAGGAACTCATTCAAAGCCCCGAGGCCTCTGGCAGTTTATTTCTCTATATTATCTTTTGAAGCGGTTCTTATAGAATTTAGTCAGGAAAAAAAGTCAACAGAACTTTCTCTTATGCATTGCAAAGTAAGATTAATGTGTCCCTGCTACATAGACCACTATTTTAAACTAAAATTAATATCCTAACTCCATTGCCATCTAAAAGGGTACTTTATGCACCGCTGGATGTTCAAAACATCGTATTTAGTATATTTTCTTATGCAATGAGTGTAGGGCATCTATTTGTAGATGGGTATATACTAACAAACAGCCTCTCCTCTCCCCAGATTTGGGAGTCCCTACAGTATCGTAATCCAAGGTGCAGCACCATGAAAATCAAGGATGAAATTTTCTCCCTTCAAGAAACATCACCATAAAATTAAAAGGTAGATAGTAGAAAATGAAATGCATAATTCCTGCTTTGCTAAACTACACATTTAATCACTCTTACCAAAAAATCTGATGCAAGAACACTGCATTACCCTAGTAATAGCACCATTTTGCAATCTTCCTTGAGAACCATTCCAATACATTTAACAATATCCTATAAAGTACAAATAAAATTAATTAAACTAAATGAAGTGTATGCTTGATTTTATGTTCATTTACTTTTAATGTTAATTGAGATCTTAATTCAGCAAAGCACTTAATAGACGGTTAAATGCAGGTATTCACCAAAACGTCCTGCTTAGAGCCTATGTTCAAGTTTAGCAAGCGTTAAATGGTCTTTTAGATCTGCAGCAACCTTGAAAAATGAGTGTCCTGTTTACCTGTGCACATTATTAGGGCATATTATCAGACCTATTTTCATATTGAAGAGAGGATAATAATTTAGATGGGCTACAGGCTTCTTTATCTGTACATTCCAATATAGTAATCATTTAAAAAAAAAAAAAAAGTCAAGAAAAAATGCTGCAGTGATAACCATCAGTTCCAATATTCAGCTTCTACTGTTGGGAGAACAAAAGTGACTATGCTGAAATAGTCTAGCTACTTCATCTGCCAACACCAAGTTTTATAGGAAGATGTAAAATTTTCATAAATGACGTAACGGGAGAACAACGCGCTTATGGGGAACGTGTCTTTAAAATTTGGTTACCTAAGTCTTTTCTACCTTCAAAGCATGTGCAAGTTTGACTAAAATTTTATCTATATACAGAAATCTAGTTAATTTAACTCTATTGTTCCAGCTTTTTTGTTGCAGTGGACCTCAATTCTCTTTTCTTACTTGATTTAATCAAGAATAAATGTACTGAAAATAATGGATGCCCACTGTGTTTAAAGCAGCACAATTGCAAAGAGAGTCCTGGTGTACTTATGTTACCTACCTTTCAGCTTAGACATCACAAGTAACAGATAGCTTCTGTTCTGCTGCAGTGTAGAATAAAATTCAGTTGGTATCTCACCCAATAGGTGCAAAGTACTAACTATGCTCTTAGGTTTTCTATATAATGTTCTGACTATTATTTTAGCTAAGATCACTTAAAATTGCTGCAAACCGTTACTACAGCTCAAACGTACTATGGCAAATCATGGGCAAAAAATATTAATTTATTGCAAGTAACTGGAATACATACCTCATAACCTTTCAGTGACGGACCCACTAAGACAACAGGCCTCATTGACGGTACTACATCATATGGAGGAATATGTTCTGTCTAGAAGAAGAAAACATCTCATTAGATCCCATTAATCAAAGAAGATCAGGATGAAAATCCTGGAAACTATGTACTAGAATTAAAAAAATAAAATAAAATGAAAACAAAAGTACTTACCACTTTTTGTTTCTGTTTTGCTAAAAGACCAAATGAGAATTTGATTAAATATATACTGTGTATAGTAATCACAATACTTGCAAACAAAAATCCCTTTGTTCATGCACTTTTGACTCCTCTTACTGCATCTCCCGTCTGATCAGCTCTATTTTCACCGGTCACTTATTTGATTTTGGGGGGAGCTGCCACTTTTCTCAAGATTGTTTTTTCCGATCCCTTAGTAGCTACTAAACATCTAGAAATAGATGTCTTTTTCTCCACCTCCACGTGCAAGCGCTTTTCAGTGGAACATTTTAATACATCAGCAAAGGAGGGGAAAGCCCACACTTTTCATATGCAGCTTTTAAAATAAAAATATTAGAAATAGCAAGAGTTTCCTTAAAAAAAATTCTGTCTTACCGGTGGAAGTGGGTGTGGCTCGAAACGTGCCAGAAACCATTTCTCCGAGACTTGAAGAAGAATTTCCACTTGATTTCCTAGGGCATCAGAAAGAGGCCCATTAACTTGGAGGTTTTAGGCATCAGCTACTCCCCCATGAGGAATTAACACAGTAAAGAAGAGAGTCTTCACCCACATTTGGGCTGTGAGAAAGCCTTCTCTGTAGTGAGAGATGAAGGGTACTCGGCAGGGACAAAGGGAAACCAAGGAATCAGTAGCGAGGTAGACCTGTATGTCTACAGCAACTGCAAACAGGCTACGAAGGCAGAGCATGTTTTATTCCAGATTTAGCAAAGTTTTTCTGTGATCTGCCCACAGGATGGGAAAGGCATCAGCTCTAGTCATCGACATCTGCTAAATTCATCGCACACAGGGCTCATAATCCCGCTCTGCACAAGATCACCCACTCACAACTCCAATGTCCTACAAGAGTCTCTTTACCAGGACACGTGAGTAGGCAGATAGGTCCCTTTGGAGGCTTGGGATCTTAACTAGTGTTTTAAATAACTTTTCTTGTGCAGCAACGCTGGTGTAAGTAGCTCCTTTTTCCCTTCCTCCAGGCCACCCCCGCTTCTGGTCTCTCAATTCTGCTCGTTCCCTTCCCTCCACTGCTTGTGCTACGCATCCAAGCAGAACTGCTTGGGTAGCAAAGCCAGGGCTGCCTGGAGCAGGAACCCGATTTGTAAGGGGGAAACGAAAAAAGAAAGACGCTCAGATGAATCAGTTACCTAATCCAGTTCGTTCCACAAACAGCTGAGGAGGAGATGGTGGAAAGGGAAGGAAAGGTCAAAGGAGGAGAGAAGAGGACTGTTTAAGCAACCTAATCACTGCATGCAACACCACAGCCACACAGGGCAATCAGCATGTCTTTAGCATAGTATTTACTGTTCTTCATTCCATGCAGACTGAACAGTAAGTGAATATTAGTCCAAATTAATATTATGTCCTTGCTTTCTTGCCATATGCTCTACGGACCAGGGATTGTTTACCTCTGGACTTGGCAAGTCCTTAACATACATATACTAGACACTTCGGTAACACAGATGACGTTGCAAATAACCCCTAACAGTAGTTGTCGTGTTCCAAGACTCCGGAAAGCCTCTTTAGTAGGTGACCTTTCACTGCTTTATTCAGACAAAACTAGAATTCTTAATCACAGACAGCCTTAATACTACAGCTAGTCATAGCTTTCAAAGAAATCTAAAGATACAGATACTAAAGATACAGATACTAAATGGTTATACGTAACAAAGATGCTCAAAAATAAACTATTCATGATTTATTTCTTGCTTTCAGCTCTAACACAGAGATCCAGGAGGGTCTCTTAAACTACTTAAAGTCTTAATATATTTTTCCGTTGTAATATTTCTCCCCCCTCTCCTTCATACTTAATTTTATTCCCAACAGTCTCCACAGGTGAGATTATAAAATCTGCACAGGAATTGGTGATTCGGTGGCGTTATGCCTATAGACACAAGCAGATAATTTGTCTGCTAATATACCGTATCTTAAACAGTCTCCTAAATACTCTCTAGTGTACATTTCTGAATTAGATACCTCTCTTTCAATACTTTGAGATACACTGGCTTCCTCCGAAGCCATTTCAAAAATTGTAAAAGTAATTTAGACAAAGCACAGTTAATGCTGTTCAATCATTCCAAAAAAACATTTCCCCAGATGGCTTATCCTTAAAATGATTCCTGACCTTGATTAAGTATATTAGTATGCCAGCTCCCTGGCAGTACTATATATGCTAAATTACGCTCCTCTTATCACTATCTATTAAGGCTAGATTCAATTGGCTCACCTTTCTTTAGCTCTGCAGTAGCTAAAGGTTTTCTTCTCCTCGTTATCTCTTTGAACATTCAAATTTCATTTTCAATTAGTGGGAATAACATGCTAGTAGTAAAATGCATTGTGTGTACTCAGCCTACAGAAGAGAGTCTTCAAAGTCCAAAATGACTTTAGAGATTAGGAGAAATCCATTTTGCTTTCTAGGCCTGTGCCCAAGTTTATATTTATCAAAGGGACTTGCAATCTCCAGCTCTAGCAGTGGGGATGTACAAAAAAAAGACAAGCTGGGAGATGAAGAGAAGCAGAACTACTAAAGCTTACCTCTATGCAATGCAAAAGGTATGGTTGTGGCCAAAATGGGAAAAAAACCCACTACCTTAATCCAAGAGTCAGGGAAAAAGTCTGGCAGCTTTTGAGCACCAAGTTGACTAAATCTTGCAGGGACTTAAACTCTCTAGACTGTCAGAAACTTCTGTTGATATTACTTACACTGTGTAAGCCATCTTTCCTAAAGCCAACAGACATTTTTTTCTTGTTACTCATAGTCATTTGCTGTGTCTATGCTCCGCAAATATGTTTTTGCATTTGGAATCCCAAATCAAACACTCATCCAAACACAATGTAATAAAAAAGAATCAAGCGACCTTTGAAAATATTATCCAGTGTCAGAGATGATTTTAAATTATTTTAAAAGGTTACAGCATTCTTACCCTCCATGGAAACGCCCTCTCTTCTGCTCCTGCTGACTGCGGATATTCTCCAGTCGAAGCGGGCTTGGAATAAAGCCAATCTCACAGCCCTCTTTCACCAGCCTTCCTATCCACCAGTCATTATTATATTTCTGGAACATAAAAGGTTTCGGGCTTCAGTTCAAAATGCTCCATGTCCTAAACTCCCTTATTTTGTTATATACAATTTTTAACTCCATGCTAGTCACCAAAACCGGACTCGCGCTGAAGTCTGAGAACTGGACAATTTGTGTAAAGTTAAATGAAGTTAAAGGGCATCAGCCAGTATTAGAAAGGTTGATGTCTCCTTCAGATCCAGGGATCGGTTCAATGGGCTTCACCAACTTCTGGTGAACCAAGGCAACAAACTACCCCACTGAGGCCACATAAAGCAGTTGAGCAAAGAGAAAACACCTTCAGACCACCATCAAAACCACAGTTATTGGTTCCTTGTAAACCTTAATGGCCTATGCTAAAGGTCGCCACCACTTCTCCTCCCTTTCTTCCAGGTACTTGGATGGACGTTATTAACATGTTAGCACTTTCCTCCAGAAACCTTGTCTGGTAGGAAAGCTCTATAAACACCGCTTCAGAAACTGAAACGCAGAAAGACCAACCCACCCAAGACAACACAGGAGGCTTACAGCTCCAGCAATGATTTAAACCTCTACCTGCTTAATACGATGCTAGAACGCTAACTGGAGGGTTGTGCCACCTCTCTACAGATGAGTTTATTTTTACTGCCACTGCCCAGAAGCAGCTAAACTACTTGGACGCTACCCATCTAATTTATGACAGCTGAAGAAAAATTTGCCTTGAGGCAGAAAATTTAATACATACTTGCAAGTATAAAATTTTATTTTTATTTACCTTTAGTATCATACATTTTTCTGAATTATTGAAAATCTGTCCTAACTTTAATGATGGAGAGATGAAGAGTGTTATCACACTGGCAAAGGGTTTTGTTGCATCTGGCTGCTGGCAGAGCTTCTGAAGAATAAATTTGGAAAACCTTGTACTCTGCTATGCCTCACTAGGTGTCTCAGTGTTTAAAAGAAACATTACTTTTCACAACAGACCTTCAAGTAATTACGACCACCATGTGCGTCAATCCTGTTTTCATGCTCTGAGGAAACAAGTTATCTGTACCATGAGTTAGAAAGACATCACAGAAGCTGCCTCGTAAAAATGATCAGTTCTACTGGCTCTTCATTTTCAAGCACCTAAATTCCTGCTAAAACATGTAAGTACCATGGCTTAGTTGTCAAAGATAAAAAGTGACTAATTGAAGTCTTTGAAAAATAGAGAGCCTCAATATCTTTGAAAAATATATTAGCCTACCTATTAGCACATACATACATACACAGACATATTTAAGGATACGTCTAAGTTAGACGTAAACCCTCCCCCCCTTCAAGACCTGCCCTCCATACAGAGGTGTTATTTGTGCAAAAGGATCCATTATTTTAATCATTTTAGCTTCTAAAATACATTCTTCAAGCTGTTATGATCCTGATTCAGAGAACGTTAGCAAGGAAAGCTTAATATTACATATGTTGCTTCTGCATCACATTACCCAGAACTATTTACACTCTTTTAAATATTTCACATACTTCATCACTTTGCAGGATCTAGCATTCTGCTGCTGTCAACGAATGAAATCAGTGAATTTAAACCAATGTAAAAACTGAGTCATATCAGAATTACCGGTTATATTTTGGTCCTAAATGCAGGGCTTGAACACACAAACCCTCCTTCTATTAGCAGGTAATGGACATCTGATTTACACTTCGATACATGAGATCAGAATCAGGGTTACCCTGAGACATCTAAACAACAGAAATGACAGAGATGCGGTAAGGAAAAACAGGAATATTTTCATTAGGTCACCACCTCCCATATGTCATTCTTTGCATCCAGCGTGTGGGAGGACTACAATTCATTCCTATTGGTTGCCATGCCTATGATTTCTTGTGCGTTGTCAGTTATTGTTGCCACTTCATCTTTTAAGTAAGTGCATTATGTATGGCCTTGCAGGAGACAGATGAGACATACAGGACACGTTCTGAATATAGAAACTCATCAGTTACTGCTGATGTTTCATCTTGTCAGCAGGGTGACCTTACTTCTACTTAGTTTAGTGCTATTCTAAAATCCGGAACCATGTTTATTCTAGTCCACAGAAGCCTCACAGATCACTGAAAAACGAATTCTGCAAAGCCTTTTTCCGTACAGACAGAGACTCCACCATGGCGAACCATTCCTGAAATCATACTGGGGCAGAGCCAAGAACTTCATGCAACTGAAGGTTATCAGTGAAACTATGCTAAATCCGTAGCACAGCTGAGTAACTTCTCTAAGTCAGATGGGACTAGACAACTGTGTGACAGGACACGGAAGTGCCTGTGTGAGGGTCCTGCACTTTGGCAGGGATCTGGCCCCGGCCATTTAGACTATGGAAGAAAACTCAGAATGCCAAAGGACTCAGGACACTTAACCTTGAAAAGCGTACAGGTCAGCACAAAAGGAGGTTGGTACATTAAGTTCTATCACTAGCCTGACAATAAAGGCAGCTGCGTCCTGGGAAAGCTAAGAGCAAATACTTGTTACAATGGTGACGCACAGAGCTACCTGAACAGTTACACAAGGCAACGTGTAAACTAGACAGATAGCATGGCAGGTGTGGGGTATTTCTGGCACAAAAGGGAAAACGCTGGGAAGGTAGCTGATAAAGTGATCTCTACTGTGATGTGTACAGCTGCTGTTTGTGTTCAACTTTGAGTGCCAGCAAAGGACATTTTCCTGACGGGCAGCAGGTTTAGAAGGTGGGATACATCGCGTACAGCTCGGTTGTGCTGCTGGAAAGAACAGAACACATTCTCAGGGAATTAAGGGAGGAGAAAACCAAATCTTCATGCAACAACAGACAGATTCCAATTTCATAGTGCTCCACTTCCTCAGCAGGGGTGTAAGCATTGTTCCGCACAAATATGAAAAATATTAAACTTCCATCTGTTTCCAGTAAAAAGAGAAAATGGAATGAGGGAATCAATTGCCTCTCCTATGTCCTTCTCTGGGAGAAAGAACTTAAAGCAAAATCCCGTGCTCTACCACCAATCTCTGCCTCTAGTGATAAGGCAGCAGGTGATTTCCTCTTGAATACGTTCAATCTCATGGAGATTGGTGCTTTGAAACAATGGTGGACAAATGTTCAAAGAAAGAGGCAAATTAGTATTGAACACCCTAAAATCTACCCACAGAATGCAGAGATGAAAAAATGTTTTTTTGGAAGCTGCAAGTCTACATACAAATCTACAAAACAACAGGGGATTATGCAAATTAGGAGGGCTCACTTTAGACAGATTACAAAGAATTGCAAAAAATTCACTCAACATGCAATAAAATGAATTTTCCTCTATCAAAGTCCTATCCCCATACTCAGGGCCCATTTATTCTCCCATTCCTTTTTCCTTAATTCTGTACCTTTTTGTCTGAGGGCCTCTTCAATATTTTCTTTTCTTATTGTATTATTCTTGGTCTCACTTCCTCTCTTACAGGGCTATCTGGTGCTTTATGAAGACCCGGTATAAACTGGTGCTGCGTCACTTTCTGGTCAATCCCTTTCTCTTATCTAGTCTCAGACCCATCACAAACTTGATTTGATGAAAAGAATCTGCATCTACCATGTTGAAGGGGGTTTAAAATCTAGCAAGATGGAATTTCATTCCTGTGGCACAAAAATCTAACAACAAATCGGTAATACTCAACAGTCTAAGATAACAGACTCAGAGTGCTGGAACTCTAAAAAGGATGGTGTACCACCAGAGCATCGCTAATCAGACGGATGTGCTGTTCTCTGCTGCCTCCACTCAGCTCTCTCTTTTATCTGCTATGGCTCAGACTTCGCTGCTCAAATTGTAGTTCTTGTAAGTGAAAAGGGAAAAAGTACACCCTGTTTTTACCTCTTTAATGTGTAGAAAGTCCTTGGCATCAAAAGAGATAGCAGTGCTTGGGACAGGAACATCTTCATCCAGTGCTCCGCAGTAACTCACGTTAGTCTTAACAGCAAACGCTACTGGTTTGGACTACAAACAGAAACAGACATCATAAACATAGCATAAAAGTGATGTTGTATTTTTCAGAATCAAGAATTAATCTGTTGTACCACATTACTCAAAATCTAGTAGAGGACACTTGTCAAATACACCAATTCACACAAGCGTGTATTTCACACAAACTATTTCACGCAAGCCAGCAGAGTTCAGCTTACTACAGAAGATCTAAACTTAAACCACAAAGGCAGTGGTTTGGATCAGTATCTGTATGCCTGACACTACGGAAATAATACTGGAAATCTGCATCCCATTTCATCAGGAGGTTGAGCAGGCTCTGATATCCTTCTGAAATAAAAACAAAGCAACAACCACTGGGCCACATCCTTCACCAAGAGGTATCGGCACAGATGATGCATCATGTTAGCACACGACAGGACGATATAAACCACTCAGTCCCTTCACTGCCCATTTCTAGAGCAAGCACCTTGACGGAATCCAGATTCAAAACTGTCTAGTGATACCACTGTAGTAGGAATCTGTTATTTTTCATTCCCTATCCTATGCAAGAGAACACTTCTGCCCTCATTTATATAATGAGATCCTACTAGTTTCATCAGAGCTTCAATAACAGAATTTGGCTCTTTGTTTTAAATAGTATCTCCACTCTGGGAACATTTGCTCCACCCCAAATATCTTGTTTGTGGAAAACCTTACCTGATTCTCAAACTCTTTCAAGAGACATCATCATTATAAACCAGCAGTGTGAATTTTAACACTACGCAACAGATAAACGCCACATAACTTTGTTATTGTTAAAGCTGAAAAGAAGAACAAACCTTCGCCCTTTCAAGCTGTATAGCTGCTTGTTGCTCTCTTTCTTGGCGGACTGCTTCCCTGTCTTCTTCCAAAGAGACATCAGAGTCCGAGGGTCTGCTTGTGTATGAATCTGCTGAGCCCTAAAATTAAATTCATGTCACTAAAAAAACATATATAACAGATAGAACACTCCCCCCATTAGATTCATAAAATATCTTTAAAATATTTGTTTCCCAATTTTATTGAGTAGGTTTTATATCCTGTGTCTAGCAGGAAATCCTGCAGAATTTAGCAGAGAAATAATCTGGCTTTACAGATTAGATGCCTTTCGCCCAAGACAAAATCCCAAGAAAAAAGTATCTCTCCACTTTCAAAGAATCTCTTCATTTTCTTGCTGGCATGGGCATACAAAACTCAGCTGTAGGCACCGTACAGCAACCTTCTACAATATTTAAATCCTGTCTGACAACCTCGGATCCAAGATCACCTCTTTGTCAAAGGCTAGGTCACATCAAATTCAATTAAGGTATTACACAGCTTGGTTTGAATCATCTCTCCCTGTAAACATAGTACAATTGTGTAAGTACTTCCCTTCCTACTGTGGAGTGCCACTCACACAAAGAATTGTTCTGTGCTTTAAAAGCAAAAAAAGCAGCAAAAGTCACATTATTAAAAGCTGCTCAACAGGGCAACTGATATGATGATATGAAATGAAAACAGCACATACAAGCAGAAGCAGAATGTAACAGCTTATAAGGGAGGAAATTAGATCTTGCCACAGTTCGATTTCTCGTCTGGGACACTACTGAGGAAGCCTGGCAACACCTGAGGTTTGCAGCGGCTCCTCTCCTCCTTTTACAAAGCACCTGATTCCATTGTCCTGCACGGCTGATCTTTATGGCTGCCTGGAGCCAACTGAAAGAGAGGACTTAATCTTACAAGACAGATTAAGATAAGGACAGGGAACGTTCAGTCATTATGAACCTGAAATCCCAGTTCAAAAACCTCCCTCCAAACACCTAAGCAAACTCTAGGTCCAGAAGCCTAGCACAACGAGGACTTGAACCTAGGCTGCAAAGAGCGCCCCTGAGAGAGAGCATCCGTACAAAAGGGGAAGTAGTTTTGCACTACAGGAGGAAGCCCAAGATCTCAAAATCCTAAAGTCTAGGTCTAACTTTCTGTCCAAGGTAAATTTTAAGTGGGAAATATCTGCCCATTACCGGGCCATTTCTCAAGCAAACAAAGTTGCCACTAATGCAATTAATATATCAGTTTGGTGAGCAACGGTCTTTGCTTACAGCACACTCCAGCACTGCAGAATCTTGTTCCGTTCAATCCAGCATGAGACTAATTGGTATTTGGGTCATCATTCGGGTCATTGCTCCTAGCAATGCAGAGGTTTGGGTTTCAGCCTCCCCGGCCTGAGGTTCTGCCCTGGCTGCAGCACCACAGTGCCCGTGACGTGCAGCAACCGCACGCTCCCCAGAGCCTCTACCGCAGCAGTTAGTTCTCTACCGCAGAAGTCAGTAAAGTTTAGTATACAGAGCCGTATACGGTTTGCATAATAGTCTCACTAACTTTTAACCTACGTATCTTGCACATATCTTAGGAAAAACAACTGCACAAAGACACCAATCATAAAAAAGTAGAGAACTTCAAAAGGGTTACGATGATGCAGAGTTGCGGAAGGATCTGGCCCCAGTATTGTATTTCGTAGGAGGAACATATTGTAATGTGTAACTAGCTCTGAGAAACACTGTTTTTAAGTAAGGGAAAGGAGTAATACACTGAAAACTATGTATTTTGCACTATGTTACAGAACCAGTGCAACAGATAATTACTAGGTCAACACATTTCCAACAAAAAAAACGGAAAAAAAGCCCATGTATTCTCCCTGAACTACAACTTCTTACCCAAAAAATACAAAATCTTTTTTGTAAAATGGACTATTTTGTCTTATCACAATTCTTAGGAGTTCTAAATCAAACTCCCCAGAAATTAGCAAAACAGGCAATACAAAATTATGAAAGATTCACAACTCAGTCCAGAAGCATGTACTTTCAGAAAACTTAAAACACAAACAAACAAACAAAAAAAAATCATTGCTTTAGTGAAAAAAAAAAAAGAACCACAAAAAATCCACCAACATACAAAAACTTCCCCCCAAACCCTACACTATTTATAAGGAAAACACTTAAGGTTTTTCTTCTTCATGTGTATTTAACTGTGTTATTGTATTCATTCAAGAGCTTAGATAAGGTGAGGCAAAGAAAAACAGGAGAGAGATCAACACAACCTCTCACAGAAAAACCACCGCTGAAGATAACAATATTTGTTCATGTTTGCTGCTGTCCGAGTGGCCAACATACTCAACCTCCATCGTTGCGTGGTTTTAGTGGCAGATAACTGAAGTCTCACATGATTCTGTTTTCACGTAAGTCCTTCACCGTTCCTGTACATAATAATTTGACATAGCTGCATGTCATAAATTATACCCCACATGAGTTCCAGTGCAAAGCCAGAAGAATGTTACATGACATGGCCAATTCCCAAATCACAAGACTGGATTAGAAATTATATGATTAAAATAATATCCTCTGGGTCTTTTATTTGCCTTCTTTTTGAGCTTTTACACCTCTCATTTTATAGCGCTCTCCCTCAATAAGGCAAGCTAGCAGCTTCCTTCAGAGAAACGAAAGCCAAGATTATTCCATCATTAGTGATTACAGCAGACAGCTCTAAAAAGAGTTAAACAGTCATACATCTTGCAATAAAATTAGAGAAAGTTGGTAATGGTGAGCTTGAGGCCAAAACGCAGAGCCAAAAACGTGAAGAATACATTTAGCAATGTTTCACCTTTGCGTCTGCAGCTTCAAATCTCTCAGACTTCATACTGCTTATGCAGGGTTTCATGCTGATGCAAGTACATTATCATTTCTCTAGTAACTCAAAAGCAATTTAAATAAGCTTAGTAGTTCAGTCCCTACAAAGTTTGGCAGTGCTCTGAGCTCTCGGGCACACTGTGGGGTTGCAGGAACCTGGGCAAAAATGGCTTTTCTTCACTTTCCCCCCTCAGGACTGAATCAGTTTTGTGTCGTGCTGCAAACTCAAGCCTGGACGTGACCGGCTCTTCCACTGCTGGCCCCGGCAAGGGGTCCAGCAGTGCTTTGTCTGAGCTCTGCGAGCGCTCTGCAAGATGCCTTCTGCAGGATGCAAGTAACTGGAAAAAGCAGCTCTAAAGGTAGCTGCAAGTTAAAAAAAAAAGTATTCTGTTTTGTTGCCCTTATGATTGAAGAAATTGATGCAGAAAAGACCATCTCAAACCATGGTAAGAGGAGCAGCTCTTCAGCAGCTTGTAGGGCACCTATCAATACTGTTTCTTCAGTCTTGATCGTACTGAGGAGAACCAAAGAATAGAAAATGGCTATGCCTAAGGAGCCCCTGCTCCATTTCTAACAAGTATTTTTTTACAATATATATTAGTCCCTAGCAGTTTTATCGTATTTCCCCTTACTGTTGAGCTAGGAAAAGTCTGAGGATTGCACCCTGGAGCACCAAGAGCCTAATGCCAGTATTACCTGTGTCTGAGGTATCTGCAGCACCCATCATTCCACCTCGCTCTCCCAGAACAGCCATGCCACAGCCTTTCAAACACACGTCGTTTTCCTTTAACTGCTTTACGTCCTGCAGCAAAAGGGCATATACTCTACGTAACCTATCATAAAAATCAGTATTCCTACTCTCCATGTGAACTAACACGCTCCTACATGTTGCTGTGAATACGGATCCATTAGCAGCCTTCTGATAACGAACCACTGATAAGCATATGCTCTCTTCATTTTATGTACTCGTAATTCGGCCGCAAGCACGGTACCGTCACTAACGAGGGCAGATTTCCTTTGCGTCGAGAACAGGATCTGCCTAACATGAACCCACGTTCAGCTATGGTTGTATTAGACCAGAAGAATTGCTTCCCGAAGACCGCCGGCCACCCCGCACAAGGGTGGCTCGGAAGAGGAGGCCACAAGGGCAGGCGCGCGTGCTCTGTGCAGAGGCCCTGTCGGGGCCAGCCGCGTCCCTGCACTGACACAAGCATTGCAGTTTGGAGCTGGAACAAAGGTAACACCAACAGGCTGAAAACTAGCATTAGCTCCTGATAGCAGCGTAGGCTCTTTCTGGGTTTGGGAGCTGGACATGCCACATGCTGCTCGTCCTCCTGCTTCCTCTGGGATGTAGCGCCGACCAGGGCATTCACCAGCCACAGCACTTAGTCCAACTCATGCACTTAAGACACCACCTCTCTGGCTGCTCAGCGGCTACCAGATATTTCTCTTTCCCCCATCTCAGTGGCAAGATTTAACCTTCAGCTATAAAATAAAGCACTAACAGAGACATAGCAGCATTTCTTCCCTTATCAAAGGGGCAAAGCATGCCAACTCACTGTACCTAGGTTAAATGGGTAAGAGGAGACCCCTTGCCTGGACTACCCTGTCAACTTAAATCTCTATTCAGTGACTAAAGGGGAAGCCCAGCAAAAAGAGATTGAATTTATATGGTCAAATATTCTAGTCCTAAAGTTACAGCCCGTCCTCCATTCCAGAGCCTCGATTGTTCAAAGCAGTGAGAGCAGAAAAAAGAACAGATCACGAGTTGCAAAGACAGACCAAGTGGTAAACAAGAAGAGCTAATCATTTAATACCCATTATACACTTTGAAAACGCAAAACATAGCTGCTGATCATCACTTTTACTACTTTACAGAAAACAAAGCTTCAACTGCAGCAGAAATTAAGAAGGAAAAAAGAATCAGTCTCCAAATAATAAATCAAAAAGCACAGTAATAAATACACACACTATATGGCAGTAGGAATTGGCTTCTTTCCGATACGACAGAGTCCTACCCAACGTAACATGCGGCAACAGGAACGCACCATAACCTGACATGCCTGACGCCTGAGACAGAACCAGCTCTGCTGTCATCAAGAGCAGCAGACACTGTTCATCACCCACGTGCTCTTCCACCACGTCGTTTTCCTTTTAATTTTCTATGTACTGGAAGGTGTATGAGAACAAAACACAGAACCCATCACAGAGAGGACAGATACCATCATCACACATGGAGGCTGACTGGAGAAATCATC